CCCTCTTTTTTATTATTATTATTGCCGAACTTATAATTACATAAAAGATCAGGGAAAGATGGTTGTATCTAACAATGAACAATCATAATGGCATATATTATATTAGTGTTATATTACATCCCCACTGTGTTATTCCTATGTATGTCTGCACTATGTTTGTACTTTCTTCTACACTGGAAGCTCCTGTCGTCAAGTCAAATTCCTTGTGTGTGTAAACATACTTGGTAATAAAGCTATTCTGATTCTGATAAAACAAACATGCATGTGTTCATCATAGTATGAGATAATATACACAGAAAAAAAGCACAGTGACAAGGTTAAATATCTTTGAATATTTCATCATGATGCTTCTTTAGAAGCCTGAGGGATGAAACCAGAGTTAAATTCAACAAGAAAAAGAATCAAACAAAGGAGATTTAAGACACTTTTGCTTGTGGATGAAACATTTTGCACAAAATAATTAACAAGATATTCAAGAGATAACGATTTTGGGCTTTCAAAATAATTTTTTTAAAAATGCTTTAAGGATAAAACTGGATCACATTAGCGGAGTTAAAAATATAAGAACTTAAATCAACCCAAAATGTATTGCTATACTGCAATCACAAAAAAAGGGCAGCTGTTTCTTCAACAAGATCACAAAATGGGCAAGTTTCATCATTATCAAGATACTACAGATAGATGAATAAACCTGTCACTCATATATTTTAAGGTGTTGCGCTTGTTATAACGTCGTAGGTCACATGATAACGTCAACATAGCGGATGATATCCGAATCGCATTCATACTTAACGCATTCAGGCTGTACACTCTCATAGCGCTTGGTAAGTAAGTACTTAAAGATATTGAGTGCTTATAACTTAGAGAGTATGCGGTTTCGAACGCAGCCCGACAACATCTCGTTTTGACATCTATCGTGGTTCTGCGTGATTTGGACAACTTCAAGTTACGCCCCTGTCTTGCAGTCCGCAGCCAGACCCTTCTCACAAAGGAACCAATGACATTAATAAAGCAGTGAGAGGGGGGGGTCATTTGATTTCATCTAAGGCTGCGGCTGAAGTCAGATGTAGTTCTTGTGTTTCTCTTTTCTTCAATGATGTTGATTGTTAACAGCAGGTTTTCATCACTAATGCACAATCATCATTTAATTAGTCACTTAATTATCTCATTAACTTTACTTCTTTGAGGACTTGGGATTTGACTTGAAGACTTGCTTGTGACTTGAAAATCCCCCCTCTGCTAATTATCATTTAAAGAGACATGCACCGAAATGGGTCGCTGTGAACAGAGCTGTTTTTGACAAGGTTAAAAAAGGTGTTGTTTTACAAGACCATTGAGAAATTTTAACCAAAGCATGTTGCAGACATTTCATGAAGACCCAAAAGAATCATGCCGACTTGTAGAAAATGGGCCTCTGATGTTCTCTTCAAAGCACAGCCTCCACAAAATCAGACTTACTTTGAGATCAATATGAGGTTAATTACAGATTTAAAATCATAAAAAGAAATAGTTTAATAGCTATGATACTGTTTTTGAAATTAAATATTTGCATAGCTATGACAGGAAACACTGGCATCTCACAATGCCTGGGGAAAAACAGTTCATCTTAAAAAATAAAGCATATACATAAACCCAAAATAGGAAATAAAACAGTTATTGAATAAGCATGTGTCCTATGTCCTAAACTTCTGAAACATTGGTGTCTCATATTTTAGAGCAGTCAGTGCATTTTGCGAAAGAAATCAAT